GAGATTACAACTTGCATTCATTTGGGCAGAGGCTTTCAAATCAGACAAGCACACATTATAACCCATCTTTCAAATGAATATTTTAATTAGGCATGGTTTATAGTTCTTCAAATGCCCTTATCCTTAAACCTCTAGGGAAGAAATTAGTCTCTGGGCTGGAGTGGCTAAAGGCCAGATAGTATCAAGTTAAGAACTATGGCTGGAGGTGGTACTTTTTCCTCTCTATTATAAACCATCTCTGCCTACAAATACTGGATCAAAAGAACCAATACTGGTGAAGCATTATGGGATCTGAATCATAAAATGTGTTTACCATGAGATATTAGAAAAAGGGAACAGACAAACCCTTTTAAGAAAAATTTCCAATGCAAGTTGAAATAAAGGGAGTCCTTTGCCTAGCTCAAAAAGAGTAAGGAAATTAAATAAGTGTAAATATTTTCTTTCCCAAGTATCTTGGGGATTTTCTGTAGCTTTCCTTCATTCGACTGTTCTAGCCATAAAGCAGGGGGAAAAAGAGGTGAGGGTGTCATCAGTAATTTTAAATTTGAACCCCCTGAGTCTTAAATAGGCCCCCCTCTCCAAATCGCCTAAAGCACTTTACCCTCTCTAAAAAACATTTATCATACTTGTAAATATCCTATTCAAGGTCCGTCTTCCTCATAGATTTTGAGCTTCTTAAAACAACAAAGCATGATGGCTCCAAAGCTGGCTCTGTCATTTATTATCTGTATGATCTTGTCAAAGTTTCTGAATTCTCTTTGCTTTAGTCTCCTCATTTCAAAATAGGGCTAATAGGAGTACCTCCTGAGAGGGTTAAATGTGAGGAGTAGATGAGCTAATACGGTAGACATCTAGAGCATAACAGGTCCTCAAAAACCATCTGCCAAGTAAGTAGTTGTTGAATACAGTTGAGAAACATCCTCTGTCCTAAAGCAGTTGTCAGAATGAATATGTATGGGCTGAATATCGCCCATAGCTGGAAAGACAGAAACAGTTATATCCAGAAAAATTGGAGAAAAACAATTTCATAATGTTATTAAGTTAATTAAATTTAGACCAGACCCTATTAAGAGAAGAAAACCCTCCTACCTCTTCCATTGTTTTTTTTTTTCCCACCCAGCTCCTTTACTTGGACATCTTAAAAGTATCTACAATTAATTTTCTCATAAAAGTCTTTGGAGGGCAACATCAATTTATCTAAAAATTGGGGGCGCCTAGCTGGCTCGGTCGGTGGAACATGCAACTCTGATCTCCGGGTCATGAATTCAAGCTCCACATTGGGCATCAAACTTACTTAAAAAAAAAAAGTGGGAGGGTGGTGCAGACAGAAGCACAGTTCTTCAACTGAGGTCAAGAAGCTAAGCAGTGACTAAGAGCTCAGGGTTCTGGGATCAGATTCCAATTCTACCACTAACTTTTCTCAGTAGTAAAATGAGGGAAAAGAACAATACTTATCTCATATAAAAACCAATGAGAAGTACTTGACACTCAGGAAGTGTTCAATAAAGAGCAGTGTTATTTTTATTACAACTTAAAGATCACATTGATACAGTTTATAGACATAAACTTTTTAGTAAGTGAATTGCCTTCCGGGACCTAAACACTGCCGAGAAAATAGCAAGACCAACAATCTGCCTGGGGACTCTATCTCTAGAAGAGAAACAGACTACATTTGAGCAGGACAATAAAGTTCTAAACCATCTTGGACCATCTTTCATACAACTTTTTGCCCATAAATTTAAATTCCCTGCATAATTACTTGGTTTTCTGAATAGTCATTGTTAACTTCATTCTTTGTTTTCCCCATTAACGAATTATCTCAATAGTTGACATTTCAATGTTTCAAAAGTACATTCACATAAATTTTCTCACTTGATTCTTGAAACCTTGGGAGACAGTTACCGTGGGTAAGATTATGCCCAGGATGGAGAGGAGGAATTGACTCAGGAGACGGAGACTTACCCAAGGTGACCCAGGTAGTAAGTGACGGTATTGAGATTCCAATTCAGATCTTTGAATTCTAAATTCCACTCTCGTTTCATTACACTATACCATCTTACCATAAGTGTGTTCACAGCTGGACAAAGTTGGTATAATTATTGTCTGATACTTTACGACAGATACTTTACTGTTTGCATCTTCAGAGGCTAATCTACTGAAATGTCAGCTGAAATGCCTGGGGTTTAAGTTTCTTTACCAGTCCCAGAGTATAGACAAAGATTCAAAAAGAATGGAGAAAGGAGAATTGACACATACTTTTTCTCCACTGACTGTAATCTCTAACCTTTTTCCTTCCACACTTTATATTATCATGACAACTGTAATTCCTTTATCAAGATAATATAAACCCAGACAAATAGTCTATTTGTAATAAGAACATGTAATAAGGAACCATCTTAATCAAATATATATATAAATATATGAATATATATTTAAATAAATAATATAAATATATATAAATAATATAAATATATATATGCCAGCTTTACTAGTAACTAGACTTGGTCATTGGTTTGAGTTAATTTATGACCATTGATGGTTTAACTCAGATTAATTATTAAAGAAGTTACAAATTTCTCCCCAATCTGATCAGCTGTAACAACTGAAATAAACAAATCAGTCCCTTGATTCTGCTTATTTTCAAGCATTCTCCCAAAGGAATATATTCTGTTGACATGTCTCTTAATTATAATAATACATTTTTTTTTGTAATCCACCTGCATTATTTCATTACAAAGTGAATGCACTGGCTTCAAGAAAAAGTAGTCTTGCCCTAGGTTTGGTCATGTTTATATACTCCTAAGACTAATTGTCAGCAAAGTCATAAAAGGACAGAGTTTGGGCTTTTATATTCCACCGCTTCCCTCAGAAGCAGCCTTCTGGAGATGTCTTATTCAAGAGGTCTGGATTGAGTTCCTTTGCACTTTCTTTGTTGTCTCTCACCTTCAGTGAAGTACTGATGTCTGAGAAGGTCCTCTCTTGGGTATACATTTTGGAGGTAGCTCTAGGATAGGGAAAATGGAAAATCACATAGCCCAGGTTTGCAACCTAGCTCTGAGGCACACACGTGTGATTTTTCTACTCTGAGCCCCGGTTTCCTTGCTGTAAAATGGTGGATAATGTTTTCCTTGTGGAGCTATTAGAAGACTGCAATTAGATCATGTTTGTAAAGCACTTAGGCTGTGCTTGACCCATGGCAAGCACTCAATAAATTCTATTTAATAAATTCTAGTAATGGCTTTCCTACCCGTGTTGGATCTTGAAGGTTTATATTTTAAAAAAAAGCGGGGGGGGGGAACCTAGACTAAGCAAAATTTTGTTTGTATGTATAATTTTCTGAGGAGCACACAGTTTTCACTGGATTCGGAAAAATAAATTCTGTCTAAAAAAAAGTTAATCGTAGAACCAAGAAAAAGAACTTAGGAGTGAAAACTGGTCTGTGACCATGAAAAAACAACTAAAGGGATATTAAGTATAAAGATCACGTGCGTTGCCAAAGAATGTCTACAGATTTCCCACTGCTTTCCCCAAACTGCTAATACTGTTCTCATAGGCCCTCTGTCTCCCACCAGAAGGTCAGGGCCCAGAGGGAAGTATCTCACCCACCTTCCCACCTAGGATAAGACAGCCAACTATGAAAGAGGGGGACTGCAAGTTTTAGAGTCAGTCAAACCCCAATTTAAAATATGGCTCCATTACTTATAAACCGGGTGACTCTGAAGTAATTCAACCTCTTTTGAGTATCAGTTTCTTCAAATACATCCTTCCTATTACACTACTGATTTGGGAAGGTAAATTTCCAATGTGCTTAGCAGAGAAAAGTGAGGGATAATTCTTTTGATGCCCCTGGGAACAATCGCTGGGCAAAGGAAATGGGTGGACAAAGCTGGCTTTACAGCTAATCAGAATCATTAAGTCCATTATCATGTTTTTTTTGTGGGGTGCTGGAAAAGCCCACCCAGCCCACTTAAAATGTCGTTCTCTATGTCAGCCCATCTGAAATTCCATCCTTAGAAATAATTCCTTTGGATCACTAGGAGCCCCTGGGAGGGAACCAGCACCCCGGGGGGAGGACTGTCACCTCTCTCTATTGGAACCCCACCCCCACTCCAAGAGGTTAGCCAATAAAGGTTCAAGATGATAGCCCTCTCAAGTGTACTAGCTCCTTTCCAGAGGAACAGCATTGAGCCACTCAAGGTTTCTGCCATCAAGACAGGGAAGGCCTCGGTAGGGTGGGAGTTCTTAAAGGAATTCCTGGTGAGAAACAAAAGCCCCGAAGGCGAGATCCCTAGAACAAAGGGAGTAAAGAGGAGGCAGGACAGGGCAGAAAGTGAAGCTGGGAAGAGAGGAGAATGCCGAAAAGAGACTTTCTTTTTTTCTTCCACAAATAATAGCCTACTGTATGTGAGGGGCGGGGGCAAAACCTCACAGGTCTGTCTTGCTTCTTAATATGAAATTGGCCATGGGTGGGGCTGGGGGAGCAGGGGTTCTTTCCAGTTCCGTCGATGTGGGTGGGCAAAGGCTGGCTGGAGGGGGACGGGTGGGAAGGAAAGGGGAGTCGCGCGACAGGAAGACGGAGGGTTCTGGGTGTGGGGTGCAGGTTTGCGCCCCCGCTCCACTGCTCACTGGCCGCGAGTCGGTTAAGCATCTCCTTGCCCGCATGCATGCCACGAGATAACGAACGAACGCGAAGCGATGGCACAGGGCCTGGCGTCTGGCAACCGCTGGAGCACTCGAGCCCCCGCTATGGCTTTGGTACTGGAAACGTGCCCTGCAGTGGGTGCGTCCCCCGTGTGCCAGGCAAGCCGCTGTGCACTCTGCACCCTAACATCCCTAAATCTGACCCCCAGCCCGCGGAGCAGGGTTCACTAGTCTCAGCGTCACCGAAGCTTAAAGCAGCGGCCGCTTGGCTTAAAAGCGACGGAGACGAGCCTGGGACACGCAGGCTGCGGCTAGTTCCCGAGGGGAGGGTTGGGGGGGGGCGATGGCGCGGGGCTCACCCCTGAAGGAGTCCGGAAGCCGCCGGGCTTCGGCGTCCCCTGTATGCCGCTTCTCAGCCATGCTGCCCGAGCCGGAGGTGCCGCTCTCACGTCCTGGTCAACGATGCTGGAGCGGCTTCCGCGAAGAATGCGCGGCGGAGACCCGGGGCAGAGACCCGGGGCCGAGACCCAGGCTGCAGTCCCGCTCCTTCCCCACGGCCCGGCCAATCGACGCCCAGGACGAAGAAGGACACGCCCCCACGCCCCGCCCACCCGCCCGCCCCTCCGGAGCGGCCGCGGGGTGCCAGCCTCCCGCGCGGCCCCGCTGGGCTGAGGGGCGTGGCCCGAGGGGCGAGGCGGCCCCAGGCTGGGGTCCCGGCCCAGGGGCGGCACCGGAAGGGAGGGGTGGGCACCGGGGAGCGCAGGGCGGTGGCGGGAGATATTGGGGAGGGGGCTGTGGGGGTGGCCTGAGGGAAAGGGGCACGCAAGGGAGAGCAGGCTTCCGGGCAGACGAGTAAGAAGAAAATGGCGCCCTCCCTGGGCGGGTGGGGTCCGAGAGGAGGCGGAGGGGCACCTGTGTGGGGCCGAGGGCCGCCTGGGCCGAGAGGGTCAGTGGGTGCGAGGGGGAGGAAGCGAGGGGGAGGAAACGTCCTGGAGCCGGAGGGGGTGAATCCCAGTGAGGTGCGTTTATTCAACAAACTCCTCTCTGTGCACCTGCCACCCGCCCAGCGGCGCGCGCGGGGCAGACACGGCGCGGGCCCTCATGGAGTTTATAGGCGAGGGGCGAGACAGGCGACAAACAAACTAACCAGATCTTTACTCGGACGAAGAACGCGGTGAAGGGACCCAGGTACTCAGAAGAGCAGAGGGCACCTACTTTAGTTAGGGGGCGCAGAGAAGGCTTCCGTAAGGAGGTGGCGTTGAGGTGTGACCTAAATTTGAGTCGGGGGACAGGCAGTGCGGGAGGTCAGAAAGGGAGTCCCAGGCAAAGCATCTGCAAGGGTATTCCCAACCTCAAGCTCTCTGTTGGGTGGCGGCCGAAACCTTACACTTGAAAACCAGGCTATGTTTTATTCTCCATAACTTTTTTTTTACATTTTTTTAAAATTTTATTTTCTTATGTTAGTCACCGTACAATACATCATTAGTTTTTGGTGTAGTGATCCACGATTCATTGTTTGCTATGACACCCAGTGCTCTGTAACTTGTCCAAATGCACAATGTTCCAAGTATGTTGATATACCCAGGAGAAGGTCCACTTTTAAAAACATTTTATTTTGAAATAAGTGCAGATATCACAAGAAGTTGCAGAGAGGTTATGTGTACCTACTACCCACTTTCCCCCAATAGTTAGCTCTTACTTAACTACTAAGTTATCAAAGCCTGGACATCGACAGCAGCACGAGGTGTGTGTGTAGTTCTGTGCTGCTTTATCACATGCGTAGATGGATATAACCACAACTGCAATCAAGCTCCAGAGCTCTTCCATCACCACAAAGATCTCCCATGTGCGGAGTACATTTTTCTTCTTTTTAATAGGCTCAGTGTTTGGTGTTTAATACCCAACACTGTGGTGTTTGGTTAATATGAAAGGGTAGACTTTCTGATTTTAGCTCCAGAGCCCTGTGGCTGTCAGGATGGAAACTGGAGCACACACAGTTCTAACAGGTGTTAAGACAGGGGTTGATCATTTTTGCTTTGGGACACAGACTCGAGTATGTGATAAAGGCCTGACGTAGAGCTGTAAAGTTGCCTTCCAGTCACGTCTGGGCAAAGAACTGTTTATTTTACTGCCTGTGGAGTACAGCTGTGCAGTCGTTCGGTTTACAAGCCTCCTGGAGAAGATAAGGAGGGGAGTACAGTAATTTAATGATCCTTCCTCTCTAAATCATCCTTGAGATCCACAGCTTCATTTTTTCCATTCTGCAACGAATAAGCCCCAGAGGCATATACTTCCTGTTTATGCTGTGGTTCCCAGGAAAAAGGAGCAAATGCACCAGCAGCTAACTAAATCCTTCAGTAGAGGAGGGCTTGATTACAGATTGCATATCATGAAAAACTATTTGGCTTTCATTTTGCTGGAAAAGAAAATGTTTCAAAATGATTTTGACGTTTGTACTCCTACTTGCTACCTTTGCTCAAGTCCAAAACAATCCCAGCAGCATCACTCCTGGAGACTTAGAAAAGAGGCTTCTCTCCCTTTGGGACAAAGACTTTTGTAAACACTTGTTGGCTCTGGTTTCAGATTGCATCAGTTGGGGAGCTAATTCCAGGCCCAAGCACTGACTGAGAACTAAGAACAAGTTTTGACTTGATTTTTAAATTACCTTCAGGATGGATGTTTCCACATTGTGATTTTAAAATGCTGAATTTTGCCTGCCCATGAAACTAGTGTATTCTGGCTTTCTCATGCATATTCTGTATAAATGTGATGTAGGAAAGATGTTAGAGTTTGGAGTTGATGGCCAAGAAAGAATTCTCCAGACATCTTTGGTGCAAAAGGGTGGTGTTATTAAAGCACGGGGACAGGACCCATGGGCAGAAAGAGCTACACTGGGGTTGTGATGGGTGAATGATTATATACTTTCAAATTGGAAGGGGGTTAGGAATAGCAGAAGTCTGTCTAGCATACATAAGTCTCTAGGGAATTTTGGAAGCAAGGTTTCTAGGACCTTGAGGGGGCTAGCTAGCTATTGTTACGAAAGGTCATTTAATACTGTCTAGTAAAACCTTAGTCATGAGACCCTTCAGATGTGTATCGGTGGGCCATATGCTTGGAGGATGATTGCTAACATGTATCGTGGGAGACTAAAGATAAAGGAAGTTTCCCAAGGAATTTTTATATGTTAAAGTAGACTTACAGGATCCTGGAGGTCGGGATGTTAAGCGAAGGTTGTCTTTTGCCCTTAGCAGAGTATTAACATCAAAGCAGTTAAGTTTCTAGAGGAAGGTCACTCTGCCAGTCCAAAGGATTCCTCAATGAGCTCTAAGTTGTAAGGAAATTTAATTTTTTTCTTTTGCCTTTGTTCCCCACATCAAGAACTATTATAATTTTGGTGAATTTTTTGTTCTAGCTGTTATTAAGGGATATTTGCATATAAGTTAGAATCAGAATATAGATTCCATATTTCTTTCATGTTTTATTTTGCTATTATTTCCCTAGCATATTCAGGGAACTAAATTAAGTATTGACTGATGGTGATAGTGATGATATTAAGACATGGATTTGGTTTAAAGACATACATGCACCATGAAGCCATATAATTGAGTAAGTCAGAGGTAATTTAATCTGTCTTTTTCCTGTGTCCACATAAGACATGCTTTAATAAAAACAACAGGAGGATCCTTATTTGTTTTTTCCTTTAAATTGTGAATCCAGGCTGTTCTCAATGCCTTTAGTGAAATCAGCTAGTCAGATACTTTTCAGGGAATAGCAAATACCAGCAAGTTACATCTGTTTGTGGTGTTTTCCCCAGGATGGAACTAACAAGTTTGATCTGTTTCTTTATGTGGACTAATTCACGTTTATTGTATTACAGCAGCATTTTTATCTTATTAGCTCTTGTCTTTAAGAAATTACTCCTGGAATTGTATCATACCAAGAGTTTCACCAGAGGATTTTATATATTTGGGCTGTGGCAGCAGACCAATTCAACACAGAGTTGGTAAGAGCACTGAGAGTCCAGGTTCTCAGGTCTTAAATGAGAATAAAAAGCGTTACTGAAACATTTATGGTATTTAATAGAGCGTCTCTAGGAAAAATTTTATTAATCTACTTTATTTTTAAGAAGTTCACTTAGCAGGGGTGCCTGGGTGGCTCCGTCGGTTAAGCGTCTGCCTTCGGCTCAGGTCATGATCTCAGGGCCCTGGGATCGAGCCTCGCATCGGGCTCCCTGCTCAGCAGAAAGCCTGCTTCTCCCTTTCCCTCTGCCTGCCGCTCTGCCTACCTGTGCTCTCTGTCTCTCTGTCAAATAAATAAATAAAAAATATCTTTAAAAAAATAAAAAAGTTCACTTAGCAAATATTTGCTGAGCACCTATTATGTGCCAGGTATTGCTCTAGGTACTTGGGATACATCAATGAACAAAAAAAGACAAAAATTCCCTCCCTTGTGGAGCTTACATTCTAGTATTCCTTTCTACATATATTAGTTTGCTAGGGCTTACACAACAAGGTACCACAGGCTGGATGGCTTAAATAACAGAAGTTTATTTTTCTTACAGTTCTGGAGGTGAGAAGTCCAAGATCAAGAGTCAGCAGAGGTGGTTTCTTCTAAGGAGCCTGAGGGAAGAATCTGTTCCAGGCCTCTCTCCTTGACTTGGAGGTGCCATTTTCTTCCTATGTTTTTACATTGTCTTCTCTCTGTATGCATCTATGTCCACATTTCTTCTTTTTTTTTTTTTAAAGATTTTATTTATTTGACAGAGAGAGAGAAAGACAGCGAGAGAGGGAACACAAGCAGGGGGAGTGGGAGAGGGAGAAACAGACTCCCCGCAGAGCAGGAAGCCCGATGTGGGGCTGGATCCCAGGACCCTGGGATCATGACCTGAGCCAAAGGCAGATGCTTAACGACTGAGCCACCCAGGCGCCCCCACATTTCCTCTTCTTACAAGGACACCAGTTATATTGGATTAGGGCCCACTGTAATGACATCACCCCACCTTAATTACCTCCTTAAAGGCCCTGTCTCAAAAAAAAAAAAAAAAAAAAAAGACCCTGTCTCCAAATACAGTCACATTCTGAGGTCCTGAGGGTTAGGACTTCAACATATGAATTTTAGGGAAACACATTTTCACCCATAATATCACATATGACTATGGTGGTCCAAATCTTTGTCTTGCCTGTTTTCTCATATCCATATCTCTGAGATACTCAAAACCATTTATGTTTCCCTGCAAAGTGTGTCTAGGGGACCTATAATTATGAGCAATTATTTTTCTAGACATGATTTATTTTTAATAACTACTAAAAGGAAAGTTTCTGGTTCGGAAGGATTACTCTACTTGAAATGTTGCTCCATCCAGCCCCTATTGTACTGTTTTAGTAAAGTTATAAAAAAGAATAAAGAAGAGTGATGTTGGAGAAGGGGTTCGACAGCTTATTATTTGCAGGGTACTAGGATTCATGGTAAAAAAAAAAACAAACCCATTTTT